TTCGATTGGATGGGACTATGTCCATCAAGAAGAGGGCCAAGATTGTTGAAAAATTCAACAGTCCATCAGTAAGATGAAAACTCAGTCTGAAATTATTCTGTGACATCTCAAATGCAGTTAACCAGCTTCTGACCCATCTGTTTCTCAGAACCCAGAGTTCATCTTCATGCTGAGCAGTAAGGCTGGTGGATGTGGCCTAAATCTGATTGGTGCTAATCGCTTGGTGATGTTTGATCCCGACTGGAACCCAGCCAATGACGAGCAGGCAATGGCCAGGGTGTGGAGAGACGGCCAGAAGAAGACTTGCTACATCTACAGACTGCTCTCTGTGGGTTCAGCCTCTTACCTACTGATATAATTCTTCAAAGCTGGGATCCTCGTATGAGATGTTTCAGAGCTGCAGGGTTTCAGAGCCTAACTTGTCTGTCTTTCTGTGTACAGACAGGGACAATAGAGGAGAAGATCCTGCAGAGGCAGGCCCATAAGAAAGCCCTTAGCAGCTGTGTGGTGGATGAGGAGCAGGATGTGGAGCGCCACTTCTCTCTGGGGGAACTCCGAGAACTCTTCATGCTCAACGAAGAGACCAGCAGCGACACACATGACAAGTAAAAATAATCCACAGTTATTCATGCAAGTCGTGTATGCTAGCTTACTCTGCTGATTCTACAGAGGAGTCAGTTAACTTTATGTAGGTGAAACAATTTCAAATAACATGTTGGACATATTAATATTTATCTGAACATCCCCCAACATTTTCACAATAACAGTAAAAAGCTATATTTAGTAATATCCCCCAGTTGTGAGTCAAAAACCAAAACCAAGCATTCAAGGCTTATGTCATATTAGCAGAACATACTCCAGTAAGGCTCTGAGTATCTGATACAATACAGAATCATTTATACTTTCAGCTCCAAAATAGATGAGTAATACTCAGGTTGTTGATATGTTCAAATGTTTTGGGGACACGTCATTTTTTATTGGAACTCTTGATCATGTAGTACATGTGATTAAATTAACTGCTTAGGATCAGTGAGGGTGAGGTTGATGAAAGCTGGGGCTTCTAGTTTCTTTTAATGTAAGTTTCAAGAGAAAATACAAGCAACAAAGGCTTTGAAACTGTGGAAAATGCAAAGAAGAATTGTATGCATTACTGTTGCTAGCTGCAGTCAATTATTTGACAACATACTGCAACAGCAAATAAAGTGAGAATGTAAAAAAAAAAACACATGAACAGTTGGATTTAGAAACCACTTATTTACAGATTAAACTATTTGAAAAACAATGCATAAGACACTCTGGAAAAGTATTGCAGCATTACGACCAAACATACCTGAAACTTTTAATACCAGGAATTTTTTTCATGAAACTTAAAGGTTCCTCCACAACATTATTAATCTGCGTTTCCACTCAGTCTACAACATCAGCCACAACAAGCTGTTTCACTTCAGTCCCACCGTGGTGGTAATGCAGAAGACTATACAAGAAATTGAGCTACAGTTATCATGTAAACCGTCAAGTAATTGCAGAGACAAGGGCTGAAATAAACTGCTGTGGTACTTGAGCAATGTATTGAAGCAGGCTTTTCTCCTGCCTCTTGTGTCCTTATTAGGTTTCGTTGTCACCGCTGTGTGAATGGCACCGAGGTTCGGCCTCCTGCAGATGACTCTGACTGTACCAGTAACCTTTCCCAGTGGAACCACTGCTTCAACAAAAAGGGCCTGAGGGACCAGGTACTGAAAGCCTCCTGGGATGCTGCAGTGTCCTTTGTCTTCCATCAGCGCTCTCATGAGGACCAGAAGGGTGTTGTGTAGCAAAAGGGACATAAACTATGTCATATATCCCTACCACCTGTATATACTGTCACTGTATTTATTTGTTGTTGAGTTTTTTTTCTGTTTTTTTTTTGTCATTAAAATGTTTGTTAAAAAATAGTCGATATTGTGTGCTACCCACTGCTGCCTTGATAATGAGCTCATGATAATGATAATATTTCATACATTACAGATGAGAGAAACATTCTTGTGTTTAAACTGTGTGTATGAAAAGGGCTTTTTGTTGAGGGTAACAGGGTTACTTAGAACAATATAATATGGTTAAAAGTCCTGCTGAAGTAGGACAATCATAGCAAAAGACCTTCTAAAAAAAGTCACCCTCATCAGCTTTGGAAGGATTCAATTAATATTGACTTAAATTGAATGTTTTTCTGTTACAGTTTCATGACAGATCATTTCTTAGGGACACAAAAGGCACTGATGTAGAAATGTAACCATAATTTCCTCTTTAAAAAAATTAAAAACACTTCTTTTCAGAAGTTTATATTATAATTTATATAATATTATAATCATAATTAGTTTTATATTTATCTCACGTTAAATGCTCTCTGAGCCCAAGTAGCTGTACAAGAGGTTTGTTTTAGAATCAAAACTTTGAAATAAGGCACTTTCTCATTAAAAATGAGCAAACTGGATTAGAATAATTTAATTCAATTTTATAACTCATCAAATCACAGGAAACGTTATCTCTAGGCACTTTACATGGTGAGGTTGAAAGCTTAGAAATCCAACAATTCCCAATGAACATGTTTACTGTATGGATCTATGATTGAGCATCTGTTTGGAAATTCGCTGTAACATTACATTAAAAATGATTAGCATCATTCCCCTAGGGACAAAATCACCAGTTATTGCAGGTTAAATCATTTTTGTGTATCTATGAGCCTGTAGGTCAGGAGGAGGGGTGAGTCGTCTACTAATTGGAAGGTTGGTGGTTTTATTCCCAACCTTTGACACTGATCCCAAACAGGCCTCTCACAGCTCTTACCTCAGTGTGAATGGGATGTGTGAGCGATGACAAATCCCAACGTGTAGAAAACAGGAAGAACCACTTGCAATTACATTAGTGGATGCAGTTTAACAGGATTTACTCTTTAAGTTGGTCAATGGTAAGTTGTGTAAATATTGATGTTATTATAGATAGGAAGGAAGGATACAACAACTGGAGGAGGCTGAAGTCCTGCAAGAGATTTTAACATGACAAGCTCTTCCTATTAACTCTTGTAAAAAATGATGGCAAAACCTTTTTAAAGAATGACTTCACAGTGTTTCTTGATGATCTGAGTCAAATTTTAGGTTCATTTCTAATTTGATTTTGAACATGGACAATAATATCTGCTACCAGAGGGAGGTACGGGTACTATGCTACAGAGGTACAATGCTACTGGTAAAAGAAAATAGATACTATGTAGAAATTGTTCAATTTTGTTTACTTTTAATTGCATGTTCTTGTGTGGAAGAGACGGCAGCACCCAGAGTAAACTCAAAGTTACCTGTATTTAATGATTTCACACTGTAGTGGGACTATTTGAAGGTAGCTTTTATTTCTGTTTTAAACATTGAAACGTGGCAGCCCGTCATTGCAAAATTTTTGGCACCACAGCAAAAAAAGTACAACAAAATATTAAAGAAACAGATATGCAATTCATAGAAGTAAGTTTGTGTTGTGCTTTCATCCATGGGAAGTTGTATTATTCACATGGAGTCACCAAAGTTGACACTCTCCATTGTCCCGGGTTTGTGATGGACTTCTCATTGACTGATGATAACTCCAAAACCATCACCTGCTCCGTCAAACAAACTTGTGGCAACGGGTTCCAAAACTGCAGCACTGCTCAAATCCACTGCTATTGTTACATACAAGTGAGGTACTGTGGCACCAAACACAGCTCTAGCATGACTGGCTTATGCAGTGCTGCTGCTGTGTTAGTCGTAACTGCAACACTGTACCAAGTTTCATCAACATGTCATATAGCTGTAGCACTGGTCAAATCTAGTGCTGAATAGACACTAGACATCATGCACTGTACAGATGTGAAGCCATGTTGAACATAAAATACAACAGTGGTCTCATTGTGTAGAGCTGTAACCTTGAAGGCAGCCATTCCAGTTTTATACACAGCTAGAGCAGCACCGGTCTTGCGCAGTGCTACTGAGGACTCATACACAGTACATGCAGCGTTGAACAAGTCTTCAGAAAGGTGGAGCATAGCTGCAGCAGTGGTCTCTTCTGGGATGTGAAGCACTGAAAAGGGAGGTCGGAGTGCAACAGATAAGGGTGAAAGAAAGTTTCCTATGCTGAAGCAGTTAAGGTGGTAAGGCAGGAAAGACAGAAAAGGAAGGGGAGTGTAGTAAAGAGCAACTGGCAGAAAAAGAACAGCAAGGGAAAAAGAGTGCATGGAGTGAGAAAAAGAAATTGGTGACCTTTATAGCTGGAGTAATAAATGCAACATATGAGATGAAGTCTAAAACAGAAAGGATCCAGGTTATTGTGAAAGCTGCAGAACACCATCTGGGTAGGATAGGTCTAAAAGTTGAACTCAAGATACAGGCATCATGAAACAGTTTGTGTGGGCTGATCATATTAATTATGTTAATACTTCAGTGGAATGCATGGAGTTTGATAGCCAATGGGCAGGAGTTCAAGCAATGTATTGGTGGTAGGAAAGAAAAACCAGACATTGTGTGTGTCCAAGGGTCCTGGTTAAAATCTTCGCTTGATTTTGTAATATATGTGGCAGTGAGGAGAGATAGAACAAAGAGGGCCGGAGGGGGCTTGTGTCACGTTTATGGTATTTTCTGTCATGTTTATGGTATTTTCTCTCACGGTTATTGTATTTTGTGTCACGGTTATTGTATTTTGTGTCACGGTTATTGTATTTTGTCACGGTTATGGTATTTTGTCATCTTTTATAAAGAGTGTTTTCAGTTCTAGTTTAAATTGTGTTTTTGTTACATTTTGTATTCATGTTTTACGTGTGTTCAGTGTTCCTCTGTTTCCTGTTTTATTTTATAGTCCCTGCTACCGGTGTGTTTTCCTCAATTGACTTCCTGCCCTCATCATGATCACCTGTTTGTCTTGTGCCACCTGTCCCCAGTTACTCATTAGTTCAAGTGTGTATTTAAGTCATGTTGTTCCCCCCATGTGGTGGTTGGTATGTCTTCGTTTCTCGTCATGGTCATGTGTCCCTTCACCACTTGCCACATTTCCTCGTAAGTTTTTTCATGTCCTTCCATGTTCCACTCTCCTGTTTTGATTGAGTGCGACTTTTGTTTATTGAAGATTCTTTTGTTACGTTTACCTTTTAAATAAAATACACTTTTTGTTAACCCATATTTAGTTCTGCGTCTTGGTCCACCTGTTCCCTTTTTTCCTACCGCATTCCCCCCACTCCACCTGACAGATTGGCCACTTTTGTGAAACAAGGTATTCCTTACACAGTACAAGGTATGGGAAATGAGGAAGAACATGTTGGATTGAAAGTTTGGGTGGAAAAGAAAATGCTGTGATTATTAGAATTGAACTTGAATAGGTAGAGTGGCAGAGTAGTACAGTTGTTTGGTGTGGTGATTTTAATGGGCATTGTGCAACATGGGGGAGTGACCGAACAGATGCTTATGGTCAGGTTATTGAAGAGTTGCTAAATAAGAGAAATTTAGTATTCTTAAATGATGGCAGCTATACAAGAATAGATGTGAACACAGGAAAGGAGTCTGTATCAAGTAACAATGCAGCAAGATGTGATTGGTCAGTATATCAAAAAGGAACTATAGGGAGTGATCATTATCCAGTCTGGTGCAAGATAAATATTGCTTTTTCACAGATCATAGAGAGTACTGGTGGAAAAGCAAATCTTGGCAAACAGGGAACATTTTTTGAAAGAAAGTGACAGACAAAGCAAGGCATTATAGCACGGGCCTTGGGGGCTATTTACAAATAGGAAAGGTAAAGAAGAAAATGGTACAGTGGCGGGAGAATAACTGAAAAGAAGCAGTGAAAAATAGGAACAAAGCATTTCAACTAGTCAAACAGCCCACAACTTTCAGCACCTGATTCAGTGTAAGCAAGCTCAGACAGTGGTGAGAAGGACAACATGAAAAGCTGAAAGAACACATTGGAGGAAATCCTGTGACTCAAAAGGAAGCAAAACACAAATAGGAGAAATGTGGGGGGTCATTAATAAGATGAGAGGGGACAGGAGGGAGGGGAGTTACTCTGCTCTGAAGTATCAAAGCAGTTACAAATAAAGAAAAGGCAGAAGTGATGGTAAACTTCTTTGGGAAAATAGAGAAGCACTGTGCAGAAAAACAAATTTTGATGGGCTGGAAAATGTGCCTTTCACTATGGAAAAGAGGAAAGATTTTTACTGTATGCTAAAACATCTGAGTGAAGGGAGTCTTGGGAAATTGCTGCTACTGTATAATAAAGTGCGGGATAAGGGTAGAATACCAAGGAGCTGGAAAGAAGCAATAATTATTCCAATATGGAAACGTGGAAAAGATGCGAGCAAGCCAGGCAATTATAGACCAATTGCCCTGACATCAATTATCTTCAAGTTGTTGGAAAGAATGATAAATGAGAGGTCAATGCATGTGTTGGAAAGTAAAGGTGTGGTGGCTCCTTATCAAAGTGGATTTAGGAAAGGAAGGCAAACGATGGATCTGGTAGTGTGCTTGGAGGATGAAGTAAGGAAAGCTCAGGTGAATAAAGAGGCTGTAGGTGCAGTGTTCTTTGACATTGAGAAAATCAGTGCAGGGATGAAAATGAGATGCCTCAGGGGAGTGTAGTAAGTCCAACCCTATTTTCAATAATGATTAATGTTAATTTGAGAATATCCCAGCTGATATGGAGAGTCATTGTTTGGCGATGATGGAGCTCTCTGGAAATGGGGAAGAAATGTTGAGTATATAGCTAAGAAAATGCAAGAAGGATTCAGTCAAGTTGAAAATTGCAGATTAAAATGGCTGTTTAAATTCTGAGTGGAAAAATCAAAAGTTATGAAATAATGTCACTTGAAATTGTATGGAAGTGTATTAGAAAGGGTTGAGAGTTTTCGTCTTTCGGGTGTACATTTTGATCAGAGGCTAGCTTGGAGAGGAAATATCAGTCAAGTGTAAAAAAGTAATAAACATAATGAGATGCCTTGCTGGGCTGAAGTGGGGTCCTGACTTTGAGTCACTGAGATTTATTTATGAAGCTCTAACAAGATCCTGATTAGACTACGGGAGTATAGTGTACGAGTCAGCAGCAAAATACAACGTGAGCATTGTTTTTCTCTTATTCTTTGTTGCAGGGAAATAAAAGGAAGGAGCAGGTACCAATCAGCAGACTAAGGGTTGGGCACAGTAATCTGAACGGCACACTTCACAATATGGGGAAACACCCAACTGGATTGTGTGACCATTGTCAGGAGCAGGAAACAGTAAAACACATACTTACAGTAAAGCGAATAGGACGGGCTGAGGGCAGTGAAGTGAACATTTTACAATGTACAGATTGTGCAAAAGGGAGGAAAGGCATTTCGATTTTTTGAATTATGACTGGACAAGAGGATACAAGACAACGGCGTAATGACAGAAAGTAACCTGCAGGTGGCAGTAATGCAACATTCTGGATGCCAGCTGCTGAAGAAGAAGAAGAAGAAGACAGCATCGTTAGTTAGCTCGTTAGTAAATGATACACAAACGAATGTCAAGCAATGCACGGAGCTGAGCAAACATCCCTGAAGAAGACATGTTTACAGGTTGTCAGGAAACACTTCGCTGCTCTGGACACGGAGCATGTCCTCGGTGAGTGTGTCATATATGTCTGTCACTTTATTACAACAGCAACAGTCTGTACAGGCGCTACCTCTGAACCTTTAAATCCACTCTGCTCTGAACCGTTAGCAGAAGCTAACATGTAGCTGACGCTACTCGTCCTCTAAATGGACATACACAGATACAGTAGCGTCCCTGAAGCCATCTCCATTACTTAACGAGTGTCTGGCCATGCCACTCAGATCATATCCAAGTCACAGCGATCATTCAAGATGTATGCTCAAAAATCCTATAATAGTAAATAGTAAACACAATATTAGCCTGTGCACCACTGACTGTCTGCTCTCATGTAGATACTTTGATTGCAGAGCACTTGTTTTGTTAATATAGTAAATGGTCTGTGTTTATATATATATACATTCTATTAAGTTTATTTGTGTTACTTTACTCTTTGGTGCTAAGGTAGCTGCTGTCCATTAACTTATCTCCCAACTTCAGATCTGCCAGCGGCTCTCATCGAGGAGCTTCTTCCTCAGTTGACTGTATGTCAGCTGGATGAGCTGCAGCCGGGGCTCAATCAGAGAGGTAACAGTGTTCTGTGGCTTTCATTTGTACACAGAGACAGCAGCTCTGATCAGAGGAATTTATCATTTCTATTTTTATTTCATCTACTTGTTGTTTTCCCTCTCTCAGGGATATCAACTCACTGTGGTTGGGCTGGAATTCTGAAGGACATATGTGGACCTAACTATGTAGGTGTAATATCTCCTCTACTCATTTAAAATGTGCAGTAGCATCTGGATCCTGTATGTGATAAGTGTCCTGTGTTACATTTTCAGGCAGTAGACTTGTTCACTGAAGACGAGGCCAAACATGAAGTCATGAGGGTGCTTTTTACACCTCTATTCTACGGCCTCACAAACAACTTTGTCCAAAAAAACATCACAAACCTAAACACATTATCCTTCATGTTGGCTGCAGCTAAATATATCAAACATTTTTCGCTCTATCCCAGCTTGCACAACCCCCTTCGAGGTTTAATTTCTGAGCAGCAGCGGCCTCTTCTGAACCTTCTAGAGAAGCAGATCGAGAGTGTTGGAGTGTTGAAGTCCATTGATCTCTCAAAGAGGAAGACACAAACAGCGTTGTACATTCTCCATCGGCTGTTAGACCACGGGGTGGCAAAGAAAATAGTTGTCGATGTGCAGTGTCCCATAGTGCTGGCCTGGCTCCTACATGGAAGGGGGTCCCAGTATGAACATCCAGAGTTGAAGAACCTCATGCTCAGCAAGAAGGGAAGCTTTGATGGCGATTTACAAGCTGCTTCCGCCAGTGCAGATGTGGCCAGTTGCAGTGCAGGTCTTGAGACCAGGGCTTCAGAAGATGATCAAGTCATCCCATGCAAACGCTCCAAGTTGGATTTTGTGTCATCGGAGGAAGAATCTGGAAAAGCAAATTTCACTGTTCATCCACAGGTTCACTTTCCAACCTTCCCCATGTGTGATTATCCCTTGGAAGGGGCTTGTCCACGGGGACAGATCGAATGTCTTGAGGTCAGGCGCTGTGGGTCTTTCTCTCTGAGAGTGCTGAAGTCAAGTCTGCCTACATTTTACTGCCTTCGCTCTTTAACTCTTAACAGCTCTGGTAAGTTTAAGTATTGAAAGTTTGGGGATGGAGGGTATCCTGTCTCTTATAGAAGTGTGGGAATATCCTTTTGCACTGTTGACAATTGTGTTTTTGTCTTTGCTTGGCTGCACTCTTCTTCAGTGGCCTTGTTGTTTTTTTACACAGTGATTTGTTTTAACGTGTCATTGCAGCCATCTTCGGGGGCTCTGATTTGTTGGACCTGGCCAGAGGCCTAAAGCGCCTATCTGAGAGCTCCCGCTGCTCCCTCACTCATCTCAGTGTTGCCTTCCTACCATGCACCAGGTTCATGGAAGTCCTACTGGATGCAGTCCCAGAGGTGACGTCCCTGCATGTGGAGATCCTGAGTATGATGTGGGGATCATATCCTCAGGCTGCCAAGTCAGATGTTCCAGGTGCTGTTAAGCTTCTACCAAAAGCCTTAAAGTTAGTGGGAGTAAAAGTTTATACACAAACGTAGCTGTGGAAGCACGAGGTTCTTGAACCATCCTGGCACTAAGTAACTAATACTGTAGTGGTTCGGTCGGTAATCTCAGTGTTATGGAATTATTTCCTTTTTTGTGGATTTAAGTAAAAGTTAAAAAGAAATGAAAACCTTCAACAACCTTTGCAAGAAAGAAAGCCTTGAGATATTTTTGGCAGGATTACATAAAAACTACTGGACGGATGGACCACGAAACCTGGTGGAAGGATGCAGTATTGGTCAGGGAAGAACCCATCAAATATAGTGGTTTTGTGGATCCGGATCAGGGTGCAGATACAGAATTTATTTCTTTAACATTGTGAGATTCTCATTGATTTCTCATGAAATAATTGATCTAGAAAAAAAAAAAAAAAAAAAACCACAGTGAAATTTCCTGATGCTAAATATTACCGTGTGCAATTTAAACAATCATTAATACTACGGTCGATTACCACAGTGTTAAAGCTCATTGTATAACCTGTCCAGCATCAACCACAGTGTCCCCAACACATTGCAAAAATCCTAGAGAAAACACTGTACCCTGGAGTCAGCAAGTCTCTAAGATGCAGGTGCAGCATTTTTTGTGTGTTACAAAAAAACATGGCAGAAGAAGCGGCAGGCAGGTGGGGGCTGTAACAGCAAAAGAACTGTTGGTAATCTGGCCATAGCTAACAAAGGCTAACATTCACTGTCTCCACATTGCATGCATTTAAAAAAACACAGATTATTTCACTCTAAATATTGTTGTCAGCATTGTTAAAAGCTGAGATCTGAGAATATGGTGACATCCAACCAAACATAGCTGCTGCTCAGACTGAGTGTGTCTACATGAATTTATACTAAATCTGAGGTGTCTGTTTCTTGATCTTCTCCGAGCAGAGCTGCCCCTGCAGAAGCTGAAAATAAGAATAACTGAGTTCCAGACAGATCTGAACTTCATCACATCGGTGCTGAGCTGCGCTCCACATCTCACCTCACTTCACATAACTGGGATAAATATACCAACTGGCTGCTCCGTGAGCCAGCTCCTCACCACTCTATCAGGTGAAATGCATGTTGGGTTCTCCACAGTTTGAGTGTCTAGTCTGTCTCGAAGGTCTACACAGCTGGGGGGGGGGATCTCCATATTGGGAGTAGGTGGTTAGTGGATCAAAGTCATTAAGGTGACTGGAGATAAATAAAACTTCAGTGTAACAATGTCTTTGCAAAATAACAGAATCATGATTACAAAAAACAGTTAGAGCACATTTGTCTCACCAAGTCTAGCGATGTTTTATAATTTAATCGCTATCAACTAATTAGTTATTAGTACATGTGTAGACCCAAACCAGTAACTGATCTGCCTGGTATGTGGTAGTCCTCTACTATATCAACAATTAATACACATAAATGAGACACCCACACACACCCACACACACACACACACACACACACACACACACACCACTGCTGAATTAAACCACAAAATGAACTTGACTGTTGTGTTTTAAGATATTTTATAACTAGAAATGCTTGTTCCTATGTTTGCAAGTCATTTTCTAAGATTTCTGTCTTCAGAAGGAGTCAGTGAGTTTGTAGCTGAGAGGACTAGAATTCAAACAAACTGAGATTTTTCATCTCTACATAGGATTTGTTCGTAGTAAAAAAGTACAGAATTACTTAAACATTATCCTTTTAAGATTGGCTAAAGAGAGAATAACCTTTCTTTGACAGTTATACTGCTCTGTTGCCATGTGAATCAAATTAAAGTCTGAGTCATACTGAAATTTTTAGGATAATAGTAACACATAAGCCAATAGTAATGTGTTTATATACAAACAAGCAATGTTGATGTTGATCCCGTGTATGTATTTGTTTAATTTGTGAGTGATCTGTCCAGCCCTCGTATATACAGCCCTAACATGATGGTTCATCAGTGTAACACCAAAGTAAATGTACTATAAAAGTAATGACGTGCTTTCGACTTTTAGAGTCCAATCGCTGCCTGAGGAGTCTGAACTTGGAAGACTCGAATCTGTCTGATTGTCTCCCTGACATCCTCAATCTACTGAGGAACTGTCAGTTGGAAGGTAAGAAGAGATCAAATGTGCTGGCCTTCTCCTGATGAAAATATATTTGTATGTGTATGATTACACACGAGTGAAAACATCACCAGAATTATTTCATGTTCAGTTTCTGCCAATAGATTGCTTTCACCTAAATCTTACACACTGAAGCTTATTGAAGGTGTCTTGTTTAAGTCTCTTGTATAAACTGCCAGACTCAGTGTGACATCAATTTGTTATTTACACTGCTCTGAAAAAGTTAATTATTAGGTGTAGTATAAATGAGAAACAGAAGCATCCAATCAGGGTAAAAAGAAGTGACCAGGGGCCTCATTTATAAAACAGTCCTTAGGATTCATAGATTCAAAGACTACATGTGCACAAAGGCTGAAAATGTTGTACGCAGGAAAAAAAAGATTCAGATTTATAAAACCATGCACACGCACACCTCAAGACAATGCTCCCTTTATAAATCACACTCAACCTGGAAACGTGCTTAGTGGATCTGCTTCGAAGTCCACCCTCCACAATGGTTTCTCTGCTGAATCGTGGCGTCAAGCCATGAGATGAAGAACTTTCTGACACCGACATCAAGGCTTTTGTTAGTGAGGTGGAGATGAGGAAAGACAGATTGTGTGGTGGCCACAGCAGTGCTATCCCTCATAAAAAGAAAATGCAGTTAGTGATAACGTGTTGCTCATTGTGTTAATGCAGCGGGCGAGAGTGAATACGACAAAGAGGACAGTGCCTGAAATAAAAAAGTGTCAAGATTTCAAAGTCAGATTTAAAGGTGGAGGCAAAAAAAAGAAATGTTTCTCTTTGTCCGAAAGGGCTTTAAGGAAATCATATCACGCACAGACCTGCCGGCTAATTAACGCCGCAGAGTGGTGAGTACTTGTGTTTGTACTGGAATGGCTCACTCTGTTGAATCGGTCAGTGTAATACTGGACTCGGTTCAGCACAAAGATTGAAGATCAACTCAAAACAGACTCACAGAAGCAGCTTGGTTTTCAGAGGGTTGAGTTAATGCATATAAATGACATATAGTTCGATGCATCTTCAAAAAGACTTAATTCATAACACTGTCCTCGTGTCCATCAGCAGCTCTCTCAGATCAGAGGGTCTGATGTCTGAGTCCAGACCTGACTTGAGTTCCTCATGGTTTTTCCTCTCCCTCCCTTAGAGCTGTGGTTTAATGATTGCCGCCTTCTTGAGAAGTGCAGTGACAAGGAGGAGGCTTTGCAGCAGTTGGTGTCTGCTCTGAAGATGGTGCCTTCTCTTCACACTCTGGGCCTTGCTCAGAATCGACTTAGTAAGTTCATCCTTCACATGTTTTCCAGTAGTTCTATGCGGTGTTATTGAAACCACCAGTTTCATCATGAATGGTTGAAACGTGATAGTGTAACGAGTCAGGTCAGGTGAGAAATCACCCAGCTTTGCCCTAATTCCCTAGCAGCAGAGATGGGACTAATATCTGTGCTGTTGCTGTGTTTGCAAGTCATGGATGGTTTTGTCTGATGGATGGAGTGACAGGAGGCTGTACACTAATCTGCATGTCTCTACAGCCAAGAATGTGTGTGTGCTGTCCGAGCTGTTCTCAGGATCCTCCCCCAGCTCAGTGAAGCATCTGAACATCAGGTGAGTGCTGCAAATAAGCCCCAGTACCTGGGCCCCTGAGCTCCAGGTCAAAAATACTCTTCATGTTATATACACTATATGTACAGTGTATGCAATACCAATTCAGTAGACTATACACTATAGACACCCATTTTAAGATTTTGATGTACTCACATTTGAGACAAACTAAAGATTTAGGAACTGTTGTTGATTTAATTTCCAAGTATTGCACAATAAAGAACAGGGAGTACTGAAGCATTCATATATATACACACACACACACACACACACACACACACA